TATATATATATATATATATATATATATATGAGAAATGATCAAATATAACTTCAAGAGTAACTTTTGCTTAAATTACTTTACTTAATAACTAATTGAGTGTGTTGAATTTTAATGATCCAACTGTTAAATTTAAAGCTTTTAATGCACATATCAAGTCTACAAATTTTTTGAAAAATTGAAAATCATATGTTACTTCACTTTATAGATTCAAATCAACGTATAAAATATTTTCACGATTATTCATCGATTTGAACTAACAACATAAAATATCAAAGTTTTCAAAAAAAAATTATAATTTGTAAACTTGGTCTATGCATTAATAAATTTTAGTTTAAGGTTTGATTGTTGAAGTTCAACATACAACATGGGTTATTAAGTGAAGTAACTTAAGCAATAGTTACTCTTGAAGTCATTTGATCCCCCCCCCTCTCTCTCTCTTTATATATATAATTATATATATATGTGTGTGTGTGTGTGTGCTGGTAGCAATAGTAGAACAATAGATGGCTAGCACCATTCTCTTACAGTCAAAGCATCATCACAACTAGTCAAAGCATGAACGGCTTCTCAAAATTCCTCACCTTCTCCTCTCCTAAACTCCTACTGTGCAAACATATAAATGGCTAGCACCATTCTCTTAAAGTCAGTCTTAATAATGAGTTTTGAATTTTGTTGGGGAAAACAGATGTGATATTGTTTATTATATTAATTAACAGCCAACAATGGGAAGTTACAGGAAGTTACCTGTAATCTTACATGGACAACTGTACTTAATCTGGTGAGGTTAAAGGAAGGAGGGGTGGGATGGGAGGCTGATAGATGGGAGCTACATGCTGGATGCTTAAGAACTCAATATTTTATTATTAATTATCTAAAACAGAAACAATTGGAACAAAAAACCTTCAGGCGGAGGGGATCTTTTAAGTAAACTAAGGTATTAATTATTTTCCCTTTTCTCACGATGAAGTTCTTGATTTTAGTCTCAACCTCATTTCCCTTGTTTTCATTTATAACTTGTTTGTAGAACGTCATTCAACCGCTCAACATACCATTCTGGTGTTTAATTTAATGGTCAAAAATTCAACTCTGTTTCATTATATATTTGTAAATTTAGCTGTAAATTCTTCTTAATATTTAGATTAACTCTTTTTTTTTTTGGAATTTTGTCTATGCTTTGCAAACGGTTTACTAAAAATTGATATGCTTCTTCTGATCTTCTCATCATTTTACTTCATGCGTTTGTTTTTTTGGTAATCTAACTAGCAAAATCTGTGCCAGACAGAGGTTACAACTGTGATTTGTGGGCGCAAAGAATTGAAATCACTAGGAAAAGTTGGTGGTCAACTTGACACAGTGAAACGTGTGATATGCATGGACGACGATATCCCATTTGTTTTCTCGTCTGATGATGCCCAGAATGGCTGGACAAGCACTTCCTTTGCTGACGTTGAGAGGCTTGGTAGAGAAAATCCTGTTGAGGCTGATTTACCCCTTTCAGCGGATGTTGCGGTTATAATGTACACAAGTGGAAGTACAGGATTGCCCAAGGTTTAAAAATGTCTGAGACATTTTGTTTTCCAATGTTAACTGTTCATATCATATCACCGGATTTACTCTCCTAACTTGTAGTTTAGAATCAAGACGGGACCATTTTTTCTTAATTTTTTAATCTTTTTTCTCTCCCGTTCTTTTTTGTTGTACTATTTCTTGAGTTTCTTTCTTTTCATAGGGTGTGATGATGACACATGGCAATGTCCTGGCAACAGTCTCTGCTGTAATGACAATAGTTCCTAACCTTGGGCCAAAGGATGTCTATCTAGCATACTTACCGATGGCTCATATCCTTGAATTAGTAGCTGAGGTATGTGTTTCTACTTCAGAGCGTGGATCGAATAAGTATTCAGTTTAATGTGCATTTTTTATTGTGTTCTATTTTCCTCTTTTTTCTTGCATGTTTTGACGAACTCAAATACTTGTTTTAGAATTTGATTGCAGCTGTTGGAGGTTCTATAGGATATGGATCTGCTTTGACTTTAACTGATACATCAAGCAAAGTAAAAGAGGGGAAAACAGGGGATGCCACTGAATTGATGCCAACTGTGATGGCAGCTGTACCAGCAATTCTTGATCGTGTACGTGATGGAGTGCTCAGGAAGGTATTTTATTTATGATGGTATTGAATAATACACTCCTACATATCAATATTATGCGCTGATGTCTTTGTGTTAGTGAGCTTGTTGAACAAACCTTAGTTTAGGTATACAGTCAGTGTAGTAACTCAGCCCTAACCGTGCAGGTAAATGCAAAGGGAGGATTGTCAAAGAAATTGTTTGATTTAGCCTATGCACGAAGGTTGCATGCAATTAATGGTAGCTGGTTTGGTGCTTGGGGGTTGGAAAAAGCTCTATGGAATTTTCTTGTGTTCAAAAAGGTTCAGGCAATTTTGGGTGGTCGCATCCGGTTTATACTGTGTGGTGGTGCTCCCCTCTCTGGTGATACTCAAAGATTTATCAATATTTGTCTTGGGTCGGTATTGTTGCGTTGTCAATTTTTTTTCTTCCGTAAATAAAAGAAATATAACGGAGTGAAACATAATAGCAGAGCATAAGATTTTCTCCTGATGAAACCAAAAAAAAGAGCCAACAATACAGAAGTTCTGATTAAACAAGAAACACGCGGCTTGATGGTTGATATCAACAATAATTCTCACTTTGTGAGTTTGCTTATTTTTCTTGGAAAATTCAAGGCCTATAAATTGGCCTTCTAAAAGAAATAATACTATATTTATTCTAGAATTGTCTAGCTTTATCATGCACTTTTTTTTTTTCTGTTTTGCTTTACAGATTTCCTGTATTATCTTTTTCTATCACATTTATATTTGATTGTCATTTTCAGTGCTCCTATAGGTCAAGGATATGGTCTCACAGAAACTTGTGCTGGTGGGACATTCTCTGATTTCGATGATACATCTGTTGGCCGTGTTGGGCCACCTCTTCCTTGCTCATATATTAAGGTTGAATTGATCAGATGAAATCCACCTCCATACATTTTAATCTCAAGGGATATCTACAAACATAAATGGTACTTTTTTTTTTTTGCTCAGCTAATTGACTGGCCTGAAGGTGGATATTCAACCAATGACTCACCAATGCCGCGTGGTGAAATTGTAATTGGTGGTCCAAATGTCACTCTTGGGTACTTCAAAAATGAAGAAAAAACAAAAGAATCTTACAAGGTATTGCTATATGTTCTCTTCTCTTTCTTTTGGGGGATCACTTATGATTTTCCACCATTGTCATGTCAATGATATTTCTTATCAGACACAACCATTCCCGAATCTTCACATGACAACCTAAGCAGTAAGCATTTAGGAGAGTTGGTCCCGAGTGTAATATCAAAGCTTATATAACCAAATGACTAGATTAGGTGTTTGTTACTCACCGCCTCCATTCTTCAAAATATCAAATTTAAACACAAGTAGATGGGCCTGTGCATCATTATCCATTCTTTAAGCCCAAAGTGCTCTGAGGTGATGTGTTAAACATAGAAGCATTAATGAAATTTCATGTAACTGTTAAGCTTTTAGAAGACCTGTTCGTGACAATTCTGCTAAGTCATGTTGAAATTTGGGATATGGTGACCTTTTTTTTTATTTTACTTATATATATATATATATATTTACTTTTCTTTTGTTATATAGGTTGATGAAAGGGGAATGAGGTGGTTCTACACCGGTGACATAGGGAGATTTCATAAAGATGGTTGCCTTGAGATCATTGATCGGAAAAAGGACATAGTTAAACTGCAGCATGGAGAATATGTGTCATTGGGAAAGGTATGCATGCTTGTTTGTGGAAAGCACTGCTCTCAAGTTTCAATATTTAATGAATAATTTATTAAATACAGGTTGAGGCAGCTCTTCTTGCCAGCCCCTTCTTAGACAACATCATGGTGCATGCTGATCCGTTTCATAACTTCTGTGTGGCACTCGTGGCAGTTTCTCGTCCCGCACTGGAGCAATGGGCTTCAGAGCAAGGCATTGCTTATTCTAATATTTCAGAATTGTGCAGGAAAGAAGAAGCTATGAAGGAGGTGAATGCATCACTTCTAAAGGTATGCTTTTTGTATCAAAGTTACTTTATGACTTAGTAGTTATGTTTTGTAAAGAAAATTCAGTTTTAGAAAGTACATTTGTCTAAATCAACAGTGAAATCTAAAGTTAAGGTTAACCGAGTCAGCTTTGAGGTTAACGGCACCTTTTCATCTAATATGCTTGTTTAATTAGTTGGAACTTGGACAATAAGGAATTATGAAACAATGTTTAAAGTGTTTTTTAACCATCTACCTGGCCCTTCCATCTCATTTTTTTCCCTGTCTATTTTCTAATTTTCCATTTTTCACTAGATCAAACAAGCATTACCTTAATTTGGTAGATACAAATTCATGGCATGCATGGGGGGAAAAATAGGGAGGTCAGGTAGGTCTTTTGCTTGTGAATATGATGAGTATGGTTCAATGTCTTGGAAAGCTCTTTTTTTTTTCTTTTTTTTTTTTTTTCGTTTTCAAATGAGAAGAATAAGATATTGAAATTATCTTGTTTATTTTGACAACGAGACTTATTTTTTCAATCAGTAATAGATCCGTCAATAAGATAAAATATTTTTAGTAAGGTCATGGAGGTAAGATAAACATGCATGCTGGTGAAAATGCCTTTACCTTTGATTGTAAAAGAAACCGGGGGCCTACATTTAGTTGTAAAGTTCAATTTTGTGCCCTGCAATGTAAACTGGTATGCATTGGAAGTTTGGAACTCATGTTTTTTTATTAAAAATGATTTTAAATTGATATCCAAACATAATTGTTACAAATGCTGTAATGTCATTCCTTTTTCTCACTTCCATAAACCATTTCCAGGAAGCAAAGGCGGCTCGTTTGGAAAAATTTGAGATTCCTGCAAAAATTAAGTTGGTTTCTGACCCATGGACTCCTGAATCTGGCCTAGTCACTGCAGCTCTTAAGCTCAAGAGAGAGATAATTAGAAAGACTTTTCAAGAAGACCTCTCAAAGTTATACACCTCAGACTAGACCGAATCTGGATCTCGTTACCCTTCCAAGTGAATAAACTACTTTTAGGTTGTGAGCTAAACTACTTTTGTTGGCATTTAGCATGTGTTTAGATGAAGAATTTAGAAATGAAAATTTTGAAAATTTGAAATTTATATTACTTTAATTTCAATTTTTATAATTAGATATTTTGTTTTCATAAATCAATTTAAATGTCTCAAATTTTAAAGTTGGATAAGATAATTTAATTTTTACTATTGGCAAAATAGATTTTAATATATATTTAAAAATTTAAGATTAATTTTATAAAACTAAATATTAACTAATGTTTAAATATTTAATAATTTAAAAATAGACTATAGCAAATCTGGATTTGGTTACTCGACCAAGTGAAATAAATTACTTTTGTACATTAATTCCCCCCAAACAAAACGTCAATTGAATTGAAAGACAAAGACACATGGATTGGATTGAATGTAAGAAAGTGTACTTGGTGGTACGTTGTAACAGAAAAATTGAAAGAACATATAATCTCTTTACACGCGGGTGCGGTTGCAGGTGGCGATGTAGAGCAGCGACAAGACCCTCTTGCCGGCGAGGAAGTGGCGGGTTGGGGTTTTGTTAAACTCGGAATGTGGATTCCACCATTCACGCTTTGTATTCTTTCAGCTTCAGCTTCAGCTTCAGGTGCAGTGCAATCAGTGCCTTTTTCGTATCATGGTCCCGTCTGAACTCGAAGCTTATCAGCTTCATAGCAGAGAGATGATGATATCCACCTAAATTGCAAAATCAAGGTAGTGACGACAAGGGGTTCAACAAAACGAATGATACCAACCGGTTACGAGTAATTAATCAATTAACCTTGCTCATTGAATATTTAATTATACAACTTAACAGTTGCGGTGCTGATTTTTCTAAGGGCAATTGGAATTTCCTTTTCAGAAATGCTCACTCTCTACCACACATTATTTAACGAGAGACTCGTTTATAATCTCTTAGTTTATAATAAATGTTAATTAATAATAATGTTTTAGTCTTTTAGAAAATGTGACGCCAGTGTTTATTTTTATTTTCAACAATCGCTAGTATTCTATTAATTCAGCTCGGCTTGAAGTTAATTTTGATGATTTTAATAATTAAACTCGATATATTTATATATAAAAGAGACTAGTCATGCACAATTCAAACATGATATAAATCCATCCTCAAAAAAAAAAAAAATATATATATATATATATATATTATTTTTTAAATTTTAAATTTTTTATTTTATTTTTTTTAAATAATGCAAGTTGTCTTTTTTAAAAATAATTATTAATGAATAATGATTGTAATTGAATCAAAGTTCGGTTCATTTTAAATATTTAACTAAATGAAACATAATTGATTTGAAGTGGGTTTATTGTTATTCTTTTTTGTTTTATTTTGTTTGAAGTTTTAGTAGTTCTTATTTCTTTTAATTTGATTGTCATTTTATAATATTAATATAATACTAAATATTTTTTATTTGTCATACTCTTAATTATTATTAATGAGACAACTTATATCAATCTTAGTAACCTCAACTTGTATTTAGAACTCACATGTACGAATAGTATTTGGTCACAATCATAATTAAAAAAAATGAAGTATATAATTAGTTCAATTAATTCAAAATCATAATATTTTTAAAATCAGATTGATGATTAAATTAGTGAAAACACTAATTAAAGGTTTAATAATTTAACTATAGTGAAATTGATAATTAATTATATATATTTTTAACATTATATAATATTCATGTAATACAAAATTAAGAGAAATCAAGTTTATAAAATTGTAAAATAATATATATAAAAAAATTATACTAAAAAATCATTGGTTTAAGTGAATCTGAACTCAACTGTCTAAGGGGGTATATTGGATTAAGATTTTAAAGGAATTTTTTAGTGAAAAAAAAATTCTGCGGATTTTAACGCTCCTTTAAGCTGATCCATCAAGTCATCTATCCTAGGAAGCGGATATCTGTTCTTGATAGTCAATTTATTCAACTGTCTACAATCTACACACAACCGGCTACCTCCATCTTTGTTTTCACCAACAACACAGGAGCATCCCATGGAGATACACCCGACCTCAAACTCCGCTCCAACACTAGCTAAGGACTTAGAGGAGGTTGCATTCAAGTTGTATATAATGTTGTATGAATGAGTTGATAGTTGAGCTATTGTGATAAATACTATGTGATTGTGTTGTGATGAGTTGTTGATCACTAGGACTAGAGGAGAAGTTTTCAAAGTTGCTCATCCCATTGTGTGGATTGAGATAGTTATGGTGCTCTGAGAGCCCAATTTGTTTAAAAACCCTCCTTGAAAAGTTGTCCCTTAGAGTGGATGATATGTTGTTCTCCTCTAGGACTTGGTTGGTCCCGTGTGTGGGTAAGGTCGAGGCACACGTGTATGAAGCAACTACGGTATAGGGGTCATGCCGAGCTATACCGATTACAAGTGGCCAATTTAAGTAAAGTACGATGTGTTGAAAATGTTGTTTCTATTAGATGATGTTGTATATCTATTATTGTAGGTGTTGTGTTGCTTTAAGTTGCAAGTTGAAAGTACAATTCTATTGTTGTTTATTATATGTTGATGCTATTTTTATATGATTATTGTTATGAGCTTACCCTAGCATGTTTTCTCTTGTGGTTAGGACTGCAATGACCATACCTTGGTATGTGAGCAGATCAAGATTAGGTTCTCTGCTAGACTGGGTGAGCTTCTTTTTGGTTGAGACTCAGGAGGAGGGTAGACGTTGTATTTAGTTGATTGATAGCATTTGACTACCTAGTTTTTGTATAGGGTATTATTCTCTACTTTCAGTTATATATATTATGGGACTTTTTAGTTGTGTATTCTCATTATATATATAATTGTTTAGTAGTGAGATTTTATTTTATACTTGTATCTGAACACTATAGACAGTGTGAGACCTGGTGGGTCGTTACACTTTTATGGTATCAGAGTCGGTCGAGCCTAGTGGACACTCTGTGGGGGTGATCTCATTAGGCTTCTGTTGTATAGTTCTTTGTGTTGTGTTGATAAGTTGTTGAGTTGTGTGTTGGTTGTCCATTGGAGATGGGTGATAGAAAGTATAAGGTAAATTTGATATAATTGCCTTTAGTCGATATCGACATGATCTTAGGGATGGATTGATTGTCTGTCAATCACATTCTTATAGATTGTGCCAATAGGGAGTTGGTATTTCCTCAGTTACAGGATGAGTTGTTGGTGTGAGCTAGCTAAGTTAAAGTTTTTTTGAAGGATGGAGCAGAGTGTTGTATGTCGTTTATTATTGTGAATGTGGAAAACGAGTAGATTATTGGTGAAATTGAAGTGGTGAGGGAACCTAGGATGTTTGTTGTTAGGTTGCATGTGAGTTTAGAAACTCAATCGATACATGAATTTTGAGAATCCATGGTTGGATTGGAGAAATTGTTCATTTTTGAGTTGTAGAGAGCCTATGCAATGTTTTTCTTTGTTTGCATGTGGTTGGTTTTCCTGATTTTCAGGTTTGGAGCACGCCAGGCACAAGGTGGGTGCTCCGGGCGTGGAGACTCTTATGAGTTTTTGTTCCAAGAATGCCAGGCACGAGCTGAACGCGCCGAACGTGAATGAGTTTTAGGACTCTCGAGTTGGGATTAGGTCGGACGCGCTCAGGCTGTGCTGGACGTGAACATGTTTATTTATGATAGTTGAAATGATGCTTAGGCATGTGTTGAAAGTTGAAGATTTGATCATGATGGTGGATTGACCATGTATGATGTATGATACATTACTACATGTGATGCCTTATGGCATGTGTCTAGCCTAGGACTTGAGGAGAGGGAAAATATTTTTGAACTGGAAGAGCTCACATAGAGTCTCTTGAGAGTGGTGCTTAGTCAATGGATTGTTTTTAAGTTGTAAAAAATCTCAAATAAATGCCAGTGAATTTTAATAGACTCTTTAAAAAATCTTGAAAATCCAGATTGAATACCACTGGATTGTTTTTAAGTGACATAAAATCCTGATTGAATACCAATGAACTTTTTTACTCAAATAAAGTCTTTTAAAATCCTACAAAATCCTAAATCAATACACCCCCTAAAATAAGATATCAAGTTAAAATATTATGAATAAAGAAAGTAATTAGGGAAAGTGATTCAAACAAAGATGATTAACAAAAAAAATTTGTCAAATGATCAAATTGTTTTATAAAATAAAGTTAATAAATTGATATTTATAACAACATTAAAAGTAAGATATTAAAAATGCATTATAAACAGTCTAAGTAAATTATAATATACTTTCCGAAAACAGTACAATATTTAAAAATTAACAAATTAAAAAGTAAGAATAAAATTACATGTAATAAAAATTAAATACTAATAAAAATAATAAAATTAATTGTAATAAAAATTTGTGTTCATGATATATTGAAAAAAATAAAAATAATTTATAAAATAAAGTTGTATATAATTACCTATTTATATAAAATAATAAATAAATTATTTAACTAAATTATACACAAAATATTTTAATTATCTTAATTTAAAATATTCTTTGTTACCTTAATATCTTAATTAGTATTCTATATTTTGTTACCCTTTTTAATATGAAACTAACTAGAGTTGGTGATAAGGATAAAAAAAGAACATTAAAAAAATATCTAGGATCTATAAATGACAAAAAAAAAATTACAGGCACTAAAATAAAACAAAATGATATTTGAAGGAATTTAAAATATATTGAAGTCTAGATTTTAGTTACGTGAAATTGTTAAATATTTAATTTTGTTTCTTTTAAAAAAGATATCTTAGACTAAATTTAGAAAATTAAAAATTTTAAAATACTTGTTTGAATTAATTTTCTATATTAATTTTTTACTACGTTAGTTTAATTAGTACTTTGTCAATTTTCATTGATTTTAGATGCTTTGATATTTTGAAGTTGTAAAATTGATTATTAGACCGATTCATTATAGTGATTGAACAGGTCGTTACTCTTACTATAAAAGTCGACCATAAACTAAAGCTAAAATATTGAACCATCTAAACAAATTAACATACAGAACAAATTATTATACAAGTATAAAGTAAAATATATGGAATATATACCTCATATAAAAATTTAGTACATATATTATATACATCATAGCTTAAACTACTATACAAATACACTCTAAACGGTCGGCTAAGAACTCCAAAACATGACTCTTCTAGAAGAGTCATATAAAACAAGTCGTCTCCAACATGACTCGACACCAACACACTAATTAACCATCTAATCTTACCTTACTCACATGCTAAGTATGGTCATTACAGTTTTAACCACAAGGAAAAGAATGATAAGCTTATGAAAGAAATAACATACAATAATATAACAAAAACAACAAAAGCATATATCAACAATAGTACAACTCACAACTTAACAACTTGGTCAACATTTATTAACTTCAATATATTCAACATTTCAACATACAAATATTAACAACTAATATGTCATTACACATATCGACTAAGGAGATCTCCTACAATAGAGGTAAACAGTTTAAGCGACTTGACTCTATTGAACCACAACGTTAGGCCTATCTCAATCAAGTTAAATATAGTGCAATGTTAAGCCTCAAAGAGAGCTAGGTATAGAAAAATTGGTTTGATTTCTCAAGTTTTGTCATTTAAACAAGGAAGTATGGTATTATGTCAAGGTAGAACAATTTAGGTACGAGTCTAGTACAACATTAACTTACAACACTAAGCCACCTTGAGGGTTAGTCCACCGTCTACCCTTCAAATAACACAACCCTCCAATACTAAGTTAGAGACTGAGTCTCTGACCTCGTACTTTACTCGATTAATTATTCAACTAGGATATGATTCGGCTACCTCTATATCAATTTGCATAGATCCAAAAGGGAAAACCAACTTTAAAATAACATAATTCACCTCTAACATCTATGTATCTTCATTAG